GCAAAATGATTAAACACTATCACAAAACATATACATAATTTTCCAAATAGCGCGACATTCAATTTCAATTTTCCGTGCAGCAACAAACACAGTGATTAAATATATTTACAAAACATATGCAGCAGCATTTAAAGGAGTAGATTAAATTCAATTCTTTTTAATTACAACCGCTAAAAATATGGAAATTTCGCGGAAAACCCAAAAGCAATTTTAATTTTAATTTAAAGAATTTTTAACTAGGTGCTCGACCAAACCAAATCTAATACCCCTTGACAGCGTGATTCAACGCTCCAGGGGGGCCCTAATCTTCCCACCACCAAGTGGAGGCCACACGGCGTGAACCCGAGACCAATAGAGCGCGAACCGCTAACAGTCGCCACTCGGGTTGTACGCCTTCACTGAGGCCATCGGCAACAGAACATTTTGACAAATGGACTGTTGATGGCTTAAGGCTCAGTGGAGGCGGCCGTGGTGGGAGCTAAGGCGGCAGCTAGCTAGGGCCGCCTCCATCAAATGGGGAACAGTGGTACACCAGTCGCGGCCACTCAGCTAACGGGAGTGAGAAGGGTCTAGCGAACTGATGAGTGGCCGTGAAGTTCCTCTCCACACGCTGAGGGGGGGTGATGACACCCCCCCCCCGGGGGAATTACCCCCCGATTGGTCGGGGGAGGGACCCCTTTCAGACCTAGGGGCTTGGTGGCTGGTCGGCGGGCGCCGAGAGTCGCCCGTCAGAGGGCGTGGCTGAGCGCCCCCGCCCGTGGGGGTCGAGGGCCTGGCAGAGCCCCGAGAGGAGACGCCGTTCGCACCCAGGCACAAAACTGCATGGTGATTGCCCTGGCAATACAGACAGGGCCGCCGATGCGGACAGTCTCGCTGGAGGTGCCCTCCCAAACATGAGCAGCACCAGCGGCGCTCCTTGGCGATAGTTCGCCTCGCCGGAACCGGCTTACCTAATAATTTCGGGCACGACGTTACCCGGTGATCAGATGCTCGACAATAGGAGCAGGGGGGGTTTGACGACGACTTGCCTGGCGGATTCAGCCTCTCACTGGGCACGGCTCGTAAGTCGTCAACGGTGCCCGTCGCGTTCTCGATCTGCCGGCACTGCTCCTCCAAAAACCGCAGCAGGTCATAGAAGGGCGGAATATAGGAGGCCTCGTCCCCGCCGTACCTCTCCTCAAAATGGATTCGAAGGTCGAGAGGTAGACGGGACTGCACGATGCAGAGCAACAAAAAAGCCCATTCGCCCACTGGTAAATCCAGCCGCCTCAACGTATTACAGGCCACCAGGACTGGATCCAACAGGTGCGGACGTAGTCTGGCCCGGTGACTAAGCAGCGGGAGGCTTAGAAAGCTGCTTAACATGTTCGTCCGCAGTTCGCCGCACGCGTATCTTCTGGCTAGGAGGTCCCGAGCAGTCTGGTAGGCGTCGTCTGACAATCTCAAGTGGCCGACGACGCCCAGGGCCTCCCCCTCCAGTGAGGCCAGGAGGTACGCCATCTTTTGGCTCGGGGTCAAGCCACTCCGGGCGTCCACTAGGCTGTCGAAAAGACCAACGAAGGTTAGCCATTCGGAAAGGACCCCGGAGAACCTTAGCAGGTCCAGAGTTGGGAGTCGTCCCAACAGCTCCGGCTGAAGCTGCTTCCGAGAGGACTCTGGCAGGCCACTCATCCGAGCTTCACGCGCCTCCTCGGCATACCTGCCTTCAGCCTCGATCAACTCGTCCGTGAGCGAAAAGAACTGCTCATAGTCCGCGAAGCAGGAGTCCAGGACTCCCTTCTCTACATCCGAATCCTCGAGCTCAGCGTAAGCCTCCTCCACTGCTGCCCTTCGAGCATCCACCTACTCGAACCGCTTCATCAAGTTATGGACCCTATCCGGTCGACCTATCAAAGCATGGGCGCTTGTGGCCCAGCGTAACTCAGTCCGCAGGCAACGGATTAGTAGCTTGGGCGATGACATCACTACTAAATACAAATTACGACGCGGCTCGAGCACAAATTACAAAGATAACAAAATAAAAAATTAACAGTTAATGAATGCAGTTCCTATCAAATCGAGTTGAATAGAAATTACACAAATACGAATAACTACTTATCAACCAAATACAAGTTAGCACAAAAGAAAAGACACAAATCAAATTAACAAATAACAAATACTAGTGCGATCAACTCAAGTTAAATTCAAATCGCGCAAATACAATTACTACTCTTTAGTTCAAATACAAATTACAATACAAACGAAGATACACCTCACGGCCGATCAACAAAAAATGCCTAGCTCGGAAATCGACCCTTCGATAAGCAATCCACTACAACTATCCGACAACGATAATTAACCGATTACGTGATAATATCCATCTACCTACATGACGTATACTTATAGAAAAACTCCCGCTTGCGCACTAAAAGGGCGCGGCTTTCAAATCTACCCGCTAACCAAATAAGCAAGCAACAAAGGAAAATAATTTTATTATTACGTACAAAAAAATATTTTTACGTATTACGGACGGGCGTGATTGTAGATACAAATTAAACCAATCAAACCAACGCTCCCTGCCACCAGAATTGTTTAATTTTATCAAACGCTATGGTCGGGATCGACCGGGGAATCGAACCCGGAACCACGCTCTGCTACCAGTTTGTTACGGCCTACGGCTGCTCCCATAAAGGTCAAATCCTCTGGGGCCCATTCAGCAGAGTTTCAACGAACAGACGTAGGTCGGGTCTCCTAAGGCCAATTTGGAAAATCTCTAGTTACACTAAACAATAAGGGGGAGCGTTCTATACTACGGCCATTCAACAGGGAGAAAATTAGACGGAGCTTACTTACCTATATCCAAGGCGACTGCTCCCTCAGGATTCGGTCAGGTCGCATGGTTGTATGGTGCAAGAGAAATAAGGTGATGTGATGTGTATCTGGGTGTGACTGATGGTGATTGACCTTAATAGACCTTTGCCGTCGGCAGCAGCCCGGGCGTCAGCACCGCTCCAAATTGAGGTAATCTTTCGCGGCGCCGTCCACAGTCACTTTCTTCGTTCGTCTCGACGACAGTCCATTAACTCTATCGTACTATTAACTAACTTACAGAAGCCACTAACTCTCGTTTGTTATAAAGCTTAACACACAAAACGAACAGGGAGTGTCCGGATCAAAGGTCACTACCGCTTCGCGTAGCAACAGTTATTTCTAGAATATCAAAGGCCGCTTTAGCTAATATTGTCGAATGCACTTATACAGATTTTGAGTCAGACACAATGAGTCCCTGGGAAGCTCTCCAGCAAGGAATGCGCGTCACAAATCCTAGACAGTATATTTACTAGCCGCGCCTAATTATTCCGAGTTCCCGAACAAAAATTGACAGCGTGCTGACGCTGTGCTAACGTGGCAGACGACTGCTGCGCTTGCGCGTTCTACGCACGACCGAACGTCAAACCGGTATGGCACCGAGCCGCGCGCCCTCTGACTTCGATTCCGAAAACAGCGTTTGGCGCGAACATTAATTATCATGAATTCTCCATTATTCAAAAAAAATAGTATACAATTAATGGTGATTGCAGTAATTCACGGAGCTATGTTTGTACATAAATTAATATAACATCTATTTTATTTAAAGTTTTTTGTAATGAGGGCTAATAATTTTCTGCTCACCAGATGTCGCTAGTTGACACTGAGGTAAAGTTTTTTGTTACACAATGTAATTTAATTGAGAAGTAGTTTTTTGATCTAAAAGTCTATCAGTTTCTAGAGCATTATATTAATTACACGAAACAATGTGTCAGTGGTTTGCTCTTTAATTTTTTACACATTTTTAACTTTATTTTTTATTTTTCTACTTTTATGAATATCTGTGGTTTTGCTTATTTGTTTTTAATGTTATTAATATAAAATATAGCTAATAGTACAGAAAGAAACAATAACTTTTACATTTTCTGAACAAATTAACTTCCCCGCTATGAAATATGTCAAATATTATACCTCACTTTCTAGTGGCGCCGCCCTGGTGGCAAAAAAGTCGTGGATGCCCCAGGATGCCCTCATTATATTTCGGGTTATTTATTGTCTGTGCCTCTTACTTTAAACTCTTCTGGAAACAAACCAAAGCTCCAGCCAGCAAAATCTCCCCTTAATTTAAATCCTGGATTTCGACTTTTTGTGTACTTGCATTATGCCCGCTTGAGTACACCATTTTTTTTATGAATGTTTCAATTCATTCCTTTTTTCATTAATAGATATCAAAATTCTGCTGCTGAAAATAGCTTGTCATTTTATAGTTTAGATTTTTCCTTACTTGCCACTCTAGGAAGACTCATTGCCAGCCGCAGTTTTTAATAATCAACCACCTTAAAAAAGGAGGAAGCACTCAATTTACTGTGTTTTGTATGTCTCAGAACTCTTTTCTAGGTGAACTGATTTTGATGATTCTTTTTTATTTGAAAGCTGGCGCTTCTCATATGGTCCCATATAAATTTGATCAAGATCTGACAAGTAGTTTTTGAGTTAACCTTAATAATGCGTATTTAATTGACTCCGACTACCTTGATGATGTTCTCATTTTATTTTATATATTGAAGTCGGTTGTACAATTTTTTTTATTTTACCACTTTATTTCTGTTATCAGAAGTGGAAGCTTACATAAAGCTGTGTATTTACACGCCGCATTGTCCAATTATATGTAGAATACGATAAAGAGTAGGGTCAATAGGGGTAAATGCAAACCTCATCACTCAAACTCCATCTTCATTGTCGTAATACTTTTTATTAAATAACTCCACAGTTATACCATTTATTGGGGTTAATTAAGCGTTTATTAAATAACTATTGCAAGCAGAAATAAATTATAACATTTAAAGCTAAGTGTTTTTAAAATATTTTTTAAGAAAAGTGAGTACCGTTATTGCATTTCCCCAGTCAAAAGGGGCAAATGTAATAGCAATGTGGGATTTATTTACAGATGAAATCTAAAAGAATTGGGGGTAATTGCAAGAAAATTCAAAATTGGCTCTACACTTTGGTTTTTATTTGAAGAAAATAGGATAACAAATTAGGGAGATATGAATTTTTCTTAAAATTAAATACATACTAATTAAACAATCGATAAATTTTTGAAATCATAATCAAAGGTTATAAGGCCCCGTTTCGTCATTTTTGGGTTAGGCAAAATTTTAATTATACAACCTGTATCAATTAAGTCAAAATCTTGAACCTCCGACCATATGAAAGCTTTTTTGCCCCGTCTTACATATTGAACTTCCCAGCAATCGTCGATTTTGTCTTTTATGATACCTACATAATATTTATTTGACCTCTTTAAGGAGTATTTCACTATCACCCATTTGCCTGTATGTAAAGATAAATCTAAATCGTCCTTCCTGATGCTGTTTAAATTTTCCTCATCTAAATTTTCTTTGTCTGAATTTTTTTCAATATCCATCGGATCTTCTTGCTGTAGAAACTGTGGCTGTGGCTCTTCCCCCTCAAAAGGTAATATATCATCTTCCCCAGAACACAGCGGATCATTTCCTTGCAAGTATTCAGAAAAATCACTTTCACCTGACTCAGCATAGACAATTTCCGATTCTAAATCTGTACTATCGCTGTCTGCTCTTTTTTTATTTTTCTTGTCTTTATTTCTCTTTCTTTTGGCTTTTTTGTTTTTATTTTTCTTCTCTTCTGCATCTTTTAGTAGAGCTTCAAGAATTTCATGAGAAGTAATGACCTGAGCGAAAGCTGAAGGAAAGGAAACTTTCCGTTTCCTTTCCTTCGGTGGTAAACGTTTTTGATGGATAGAAGATAAAATTATGCCTTCTATTGAAGAGTGTTCTAAGTTGCTTTTGCCAGATGTTCGTTGGCTTTCACCAGTCATCGATGAAATCGAAGAAACTTGCAAATTATCTCTGTTTTCCAGGGCTTCTTCCTAGAAATTCTCTCGAGAAGACGAGATCGAAGGAAGGCTACATACTGATGCCATAGGATTGGCCATTACTTGCGAGTTTTCCCAGCGTTCCAGGGATTCTTTGGAAAAATGATCTCTAGGAATTACGTTGGGGTTAAAAGGATAAATTCCAGCCTTGCTAAACCCATTGGCTATACAACTTTCGGAAACTTTAATCCAAGTTTCCCCTAAATATTGAGAGAATAAAGATTTAGGCAATCTCTGCCCAATATGCTGCCGTTGCCATTTTGTTACTGTTTCATCCCAATTTGCTTTAAAGGATTTAAAGACAGAAACATCCAATGGTTGCAGACGATGGCTGGTGTGCGCTGGAATTTTAAGAATAGTTATGTCATTGGCCATCGCTGTTTGCACAAGATCAACAGAGAAATGTGTGGCATGACCGTCATATAGCACTAACATAGGTCGTTCACTGCCAAGAGCTGGAATAAGGGTCTTCTTGAAATAATTAGTGAAAATCTCTGTTTCCATCCAACCATTCGGGCTCGCGGCGTAAGCCGTCCCTGGAAATTCTTTGTCTGTAGGTGCTCGCCATTGATCCCACATATTTTTACCTTTAAAGATGATTAATGGTGGAATCCTATGACCAACGGCATTGGCGGCTAAAATAAAAGTTGTGTTTTCTTTCCCTGTAGTGCTGATTACTCTAGACACACTTCGGCCTTTTTCTCCGACAACTTTTGTTCTTGCTGGGTCAATACTTAAGCTACTTTCGTCAAGGTTCCATATGTTTTGGGGCTTATCTTTTAACTTTAAGTCAGTGAGAGTTCTTTCAAGAAGATCGAAATATCCAAAAATTATAAAGGGGTCAGTTACAGCTTTTTTTCTGGAGTATTCCAAAGGTTCAGGCTTCCGGATCGACAAAAGATGGCGTCTTTTAAATCCTAGGAACCAGTCCTCACCTGGAACGCCATCTTTGAAAGGAGTTTTTAAATTGTTTATTTTAACATATTGCCCTACCAATTCCATTATCTCTTTTCTGCTTAGGCCGAAACCCCACTTAGCCAACGTTTTCACTGAGGTAGCTAGAGTGTATTCTATATTTTCAGGGAGAACAGTTGTCCTGCCTTTCGACTTTTTTATTAATCCTCTCGTACCCTTATAACGGCAGTATAGCGTTGAAAATGGTATTTTATATACTTTGGAAGCTCTGTTAACTGTCATAGTATGGGCTCTTATCTCACTAAGAGCCCTCTCCAGTTTTTCTTCCGTGTAATTAGGTTCTACAATCTTTTTTTTTTACATAATGCCGTACCATCTGCAACAAACAACACAAAAGGGGTAAATGCAATGGGTTATTACATTTACCCCTTTCGAGGTTAATGCATTAGCCCCGATCTGCTATTTGTGAGGGGCAAATGTAATACCTACCTCAAAGTTTACACTTTTAGTCATTTTGCCAAAATACTGATATAAAACGGCTAAGAATATGTTAATTAACTACACTTGTAAAAAAAAAGCTTAAAATTTTACCTTGCTTGAACGGATTAATGTCGATTTATTTATCGTTGTCCAATTTGTCCTTTAAGAAATAAGCGAACGTCGTGATGTATGAAATGTCACATGACGCCGTGTCGATAAAACAGTATTTGAAAGTGCTTGGCTTACCGTCGAAATAGTACACTACACGTTCCAGAGATGACAGCACCAGCAAAGCATCATAGATAAAAATGTAGACGCTTATTACTTTTACCCATAGACATAGCATCTTATAGACTAAACATTCAGTGACGTCATCAGCGTGTGAAAGGAATGCACGTATATAGTTAGACATAAGAGTAAGGGAGAAGCAAACCTATATTTCTTGTCTTTTTCTAGGTATGCGTTTTTGATTGTTTTCCCTCCTTTATTTGACATTAACGATGTCAAGCTCTTTTGAATAATATTGATATTATAATGAAACAGGTAATTGAATTTAGTGTTTTTGTGGATCTTAGTTATTAGGTAAGGTGAAAGAGATGGTAAGTTGTAGCATTTTAGGATGCAACAGCATCAGTCAACGAAAAATTGATAATATTACCTTTCATCAGTAAGTTTGTTTTGTGCTTACATTTGCTACTTGTACTGATTAATATCTATTGTTTTGAATATAAAGTGTAACATTTCATGTTTTTAATGAACTTTGTGATGTATTTTGTCAAATATTTGGACTCCCAAATTGTAAATTCTTCATGATAATGCTCCTTAATTTGAACGGTCATTCGAAAGCTTAAAGTCATAACAAACGTATACTTTTTGATTTGGTAGGATTATAGAAACTTTAGGGATATCAGCGAGTACAATAATGTGTTCGCATTGTTCAATAATAATTGTTATTGTGATTAGTAGTTATGTCCATAAAAATATGAATCACATAATGTTATACATATACATACACTTTTATGTTCAGCTTTAAAGGAAACTCCTTATTGCCCTACAACTCTTCAATCATTTTCCATATTACATAGACTTCACAAATAATATGTAAGTATCAACCTGAAAACATGTTTGGATTCAAGTACATAAATATTAGGCAAAGTATATTTAATTTCACAAAATATGTATTGCCTGAAATCAGATGCACAAAACTTTATTGCATTCCATTAATTCTATTATAAATTAGCAACAATTACATTACAATATTTATTTAAAAAAAATGTCATGCTAATATAAAATAAATATAAATATAGATAAAATAATAAATAAATAAATAAGTCTTAATCTTAAGGTACACAATAACACAACAACATAAGATAATATTCTCAATTAATGATGTAGAAAAAATTTGATGATAATATACTTACCGTTACCATTAGTCAGTATCAAAAGTTATAGGTTTTGTGATAGTTGCCTAGCTTGGCAGGATAATTGGCAACTGCAGTTATTTGGAGACAAACTGTGTGGGAGGTCTATGTTTAGCGGTGGAGGACATTTGTTAGGCTGTAAATGTATTAATTAACAATATCTAAAGCTTAATATGTACATAATTTTTTTAAATGTTTGGTATGAATAATATTATCATTACATTTACATATACTTGCTATTTAAATAAATGAATTGATATTGTTTTAATTGTTATAGTTATAGGTATATTATACTGTTTATGCACAGATACACATACTTCATTTTTTTTTGTTAAATACCTTGATATAAAAGTGTACTATATATTTAATATATTAATTTCTTTTAAATATATTATTTCACAGCTTTCCTAAGGAATCAGCTATCCGTAACAGTTGATAATCGCTACTGGTAGTAATTATAGGTAACCAACAAAACTTAGCAAAACATTTTCTCAAAACATTTTAAGCCTCATTGTTTTAGGTGGATATGCTTAACTTATGTAATTTATAATATAATTAAGATAATTTTTTTAAATGTTATAATTTCTTGTTGTATCTTGTTGTTTCTCCATAAGTGATATAAGTTTGACCTTATTAGTAGTTATGATTTTTGACATTGTTCTGTATGTATTAAAAATTGACTAGCATTGCTTATTTTATTTTCAAATGCTGACATTCTGTATTATTATGAGTTGTAATAATTTGGTTGCATGACAATGACAAAATATTTACTTATAGATGGATTGATTAAACATGAATCCTCATTCAAAGAATTAAATAAAATAAATAAATAAATAATTTAAAATCCTGACCTAAATATACAAATGAATAATTTATTATGCAATAATAATTGTAAAACTGACTGGGAATGCCTACCAATGGGACATTTAGTCCACCCTTAATCCCTTTTATAAAGGTGTTATAAACATTAATGTGTAAATAAATTAAGAAATAATAATTTATAATATTAATTAAGAAATAAGAGATTAGTATTACCTATCTAAGTATAGTTTAGGAGTTGTACCTTATTATTTATACCATTAAAATATATTATATATAAGGCAAATAATATATATACACTCCCTTCTAATCTGATTCTAACGACCAGCAACCAAGAATTTCTGCCATGCAAAAGTATAAATCAAGTTTACAAATGCATATTTTTGAGAAATTCTAAGGCTACTCAAACCAAGAATTACAACGAATGATCTAGAAAGAAGACAAAAATTTTGTTAAATTTGTAGTTTATTAATGTGATGAAAAATTAATAAATAATCGTTTGTTTATTTTAATTTTATTGAATTATATTTAACATATAATTGTGTTTTCATTTGTTTTACTTAATGTAACATTGTTAATATTTCTAAAAGTTGTGTAAGTACGCAAAATTTAGTTCTTTTTCCTTTTTAAATTTCAATATATTTTCATTTAAATAGAATATATATCTTTACAGTCTATCAAAAGTCCACTGTTGAACATAAACATGATTATATTTATTTGGCATAGTTTCAACGCTTGGAAAGCGGGTTGTCAACCATTATTTAACTGTTATCAGGACACGGCTGCTGTTTATCTTCTTTGATGTTTCCCTATGTCACCTCATACACCACCCATGGAATGATATGAGGTAGCAGATAATCTTACAGTGCATGGTAAATTAAAATAGAATATTATAAAACATTCGTTTTTATTTTATATACCAACATATTACAAAAAAAAAACCTTTGTTGATACTTTACAACGTATATTAACTAAAACATTTTACCACATTACCTTACCATTAGGTAACATGATTAAGCCACCTAACCATAAGTAAGTCACCTAAAAAGGCCTTCCATGGATATCCTCATAGGATGACTTGCCATAGTTGCCACGCCTGCGTGAAAATATGCGTTATGTTGGTTGGCCACCGCAGTTTTTTATTATTTTAAGTTTTCATCGGGAAAGTGCTGCTGCCCCATCCCCATCTTGTATTATTGCTTACGATGCGGGGTAATATCATCCCGTGTACAGACAAATTCTCTTGTACGCCACAACTTGCCGCACACAAGACACTAACTTAGCAAAACATGCAGGAAATCGCAGGAGTAGGCTCATATCCGTGTTTTGTACTACAAAACCTAAGTGGAAACCCTTTCCTTTCGAAGGTCTGTGTTCAGCACTGAACTTGTGATGGAATGGTATGTTAAAACATTATTGATTTTTTTTGTAAAAACAACAAAACTCGACTCAAGGAAATTTTTGTTTTTTATTTAATATTTTTATTCTCAATTAATACTTAAGTACATACATAACATATTGTTATTTATTAGCGATATCACACTTTGTGCTATTAGCGCCTTCACTTAGTGCCGTCGAAATCCAAAGAGTTTATTGAATGTCCAGTAAAATCGTCGATGCGCCGTTGAATACAGAATGATGATTCTGTTTTTATGCCGTTTCCGCCCGTTGTTTTTGTCACAGAATGTATTTTCAAGAGAAATTTATTAATCATCTGAATTATAAAAGAACATTTTTTTATGGTAACAATTAAGTTTTTTGTATGAATGTAAGTACTGTGAATATAAATAAACCCATAACGGGGGAAATGGAACAATATCTGGTAACCCAGTGAAAGTACCTCCCGCCTATTTCTATCTCAAAAGCATACGCGAATGCTTTATCTAGTCAATCCTCTATCTACGCTTTTACCCCGTTTTTACATTTACCCCTACTGACCCTAGTTAAAATATTTATCAAAAATATTTTCATAAATACATAGCATGTGGTACAAATATTGGAGAGTAAAATATAAATGCAGTTGCTATAGTAAAGTTTGCTACCGAGGAGCTTTGCACTACGTTTTAGTTGCTACTTAACATAATCGTTAATCACTACTAAAACGTAGTGATTATATTATACTCTTTGGTTGCTACGCATAGACCTAGTATCTTATCTTGTCAATCCTCTATCTACGGTTGCTACGGTTCTTTTATTTCCATACATAGACAAAGGTTATAGACCATAGAGCCATTTAATATTACAGATGAGTTGACCACCTGAATCGATCTAAAATACAATACAGTAAGTGCAATGATTTCATTGTTTCATTCATTGATTTCATTCAATATGTATTGTATATAAATGTTAATGTAATATAAAAGCTAATTCTCAAGTATTTATAAGACTTGGTTACTCGTGAAGTTTTCAAATTCATAATATTAATTGTAATTGTAACTACCACTAATAGTCGTAATTATAGTTTAAACAAACATTGTAAAAGAATATAGCTTAATTAAGCTGGCACGACGCGATCGTCCAACCAATCAACTCTAAACAATTGTTCAAATCTTAGCGATCTAGTTAACCGTGTCTCGTCGCAGACACAAAATTAAAAAAAAAGTAAAAATTTAAATGGTGCAGAAAGCAGATAGCCTAGCAGAAAGGTTTGTGCTCGTTGTTGACTTCGGTCACAATCCATGGATATGTAATAGTTGGAAGGTTTGGAGATCTGCGTAGAGCCGGCACTATATACATTTCAATACAATCTGTAACTAATGCTGTTCACCCCTCTATGTTTTGTATTTTCGCACTTGTAAATACAGACTAATGCAACTCTTTATGAAATATAATCTTCAGACAGATAAAGTTAAATTCTTAGAAGCATATATTCGTTAACAAAACGTGTGTTATTAAGGTTTTACGATTATTAAGGGTGACTAGAATACGTCGGCCATTCAGAAAGTTTTGTGAAACTAAAAAAGTAACAT